AGACCTTAGTTCTTCCGGCGACAAACAACGTTTCATACTTTTTTGATTGGTTCATGGTTATCAGTTGACAGTAAGGAACTGATAATTCTTGCAGGAATATAACATTTCCGATCTAACCATCCCCAAATTAGCCAACTGCTACGACTGTCAACAGCTATGACAGCCAAGCATGGTCACACGTAGTCCGGTCTTGTAAAGTCATTTTTGGCGGTCGCGCAATTTAGAACCAGAACTGGTTCTTGAATATACGCTTGTCACCAGAAATCGGGTTCCAGAAGTAGTCTGGTCCCCGTCTTACATATCGGAAGTTGGGAACCAGCTTAGTACCGGAAGTAGCACCTCGCGAGACTTACAGGTCCTATTATCTTATGCCATCACTCCAAATGTCGATCAACAGTATCATGTCGTATGTCAATAAACCATCTTCCAGTCGGCTGTTTTGGCCTCGGCATGTATTCGACTTTGCAACAGCTACAACAAAGTCAATGCCATGTATGTCGTGTACAAACTCGGTTCGCCCATGTTATATTTCCTGGGTTTGTCCACACCAAAAGGGGCTGTTGGGTAGCCTTGTGTTCAGCTCATCGTTATTCTACATGGTAACAGATGGGACTCGCTGCCTTTGAGGTAGGTCATTAGTACGATTCTCATGAGGAGAGTGAAGCCCATTTCTGGTGTCTCTTGTCATGATATTACTGGAATATTGCTAAAAGCGGCGTAAAACTAAACTCACTCACTCATGAGGACCATTATATTCAAGCCTGTGTCGCAGAGATGAATCGCTTCTGGGAGGTTACGTGAACTGGGGTGGGATAAGTGCTCATGATTCAAGATTGACAATGACCATGATAACGTCGTCCTCACGCGCCTAGAGTTGCTTTGACTTTTCTTCAGTGGCACTAAGTACTGCCTTGGCCAGCATATTCACCGGATATTTCCCTTATTGAGCACGTGTGGGATGAAATGGAGAGACGTCTACTCTGTATACCAAATCCGCCACATAAAGTTTGTGAGTTGAAGAGAACATGACATGCCATTCCACCAGCCTCCAGTGACCATCTGATAGACTATATGCGTGGGCGATGCTCTGCCGGTCTCACTGTTCACGGTGTGCGTACCCGTTATTGGGTTTGTGACCACCGCCTCGCAGTGGACATTAATTTCGAAAGTATTTTAATAATCTCGAGTCAACCAGACAATCTTGACCAATCTGAAATAACGTATCAGACCATAAAGCAGCAAACATACAGCAGATCAAATACTCGAGAAAACAAGACATTAAAAGATCTCAAAAATGACATTACTTTACAGACCACCACCTTGAAGCTGGAATATTGCTGTGATTGGCGTGAAACACCAAGCAAACACACCCGAAACAATTGATCATTGAATTCTTCCCTCTGAAACCAAACAAACAAAACAAACCAATATTACCTGAATACCAACAATCTGATGGGTACGTGTTGGACAAACTAGCTGGACACAGCCGAATCCCTTGCTTGATAGCTAAACCTTTGAAAAGGCTACTGCCAGTACAACGTTAATTGGTGTCCGAAAACCCCTTCAATATAATTCGATAGCACATAATTCAACACTCTCATGTGTATTGTGAAAATATGAAACACTTTTCATCAGTCAGTTATCATACAAGTAATGCAATATGTTATGTAATTTAGGAGTATGTTAAGATTCTCGCAGCACAGCAAAAGGATATGGCGAGTGACCGAGTAACATAGTAACCATCAGCCAGTTTGAACATCTCTCATGTCAATTCTGTTGCATGGTTCTGGGGTATAGCGAATTTAAATGCATTGGAAATATATATTTTGGCACTGAAAAGTTCTCATAATAGTTGAGTCCTCAAAAGCCATTTAAGATGTTATTGTATTTGTTTGGAAATGCAAGTGATGCTCGAAATAAACATATGGGCTATGTTGATTAAAACTATACTGTTTCAACTGGGTCTTGGATACGCATGGATTGGGCAGGGAGCTGAGGATGTTACAGGTTTTTATCCCTTGTGCAACAAAGATGTAAAGATTGCTTTCACCAATAATCCACTAGGAATATTCAAACTGGAAAATGTTCTTATTCGCATTCTCTGCTGAAACAACATCTTATGAGTGAGTGAGTGAGTTTTAGTTTTAGCAATATTCCAGCAATATCACTGTGGGGGACACCAGAAATGGACTTCACACATTTTACCCATGAGGGGAATCGAACCCGTGTCTTCGGCGTGACGAGCGATCGCTGTAACCACTAGGCTACCCCACCGCCCCCAACATCTTATGTGTGAAAAGTATTTAACTACTTTAAATGTGAGGAAATTAAGAGCAGCTTCGATGTGGTTATTAAAATCTAACGTATTATTAAAAAAAAACATGTCATGCCACTGAGAACCAATCCTGCAGAAAGTGGAACACTGATAATATTGAAGATGAATACTACGTTATTCTCATATGTCCACAGTATGAATTCTAGGGAGTCATATATCCAATCTAAGTATACATCACAATTTACGCATTCTGTATACCAATGTCAACAGAAAATGTCCAGCTTCTACAGAATGTTGCTACGTTAATACTCCATGCACTGTCAACACATAAACGTACATGAACCAATAACCCATTATAACCGTTTTGAGTTGTACTAGTTTCTACAGTTCAGTAATAAAGAATATCTCACGAGAATATTTCCATATTCAGTAAGAAATCCAAATATGTTAATCTAAATATATGTTTTCACTTACATAAGATTGGTATTACAAGTCTCTCAACAAATGACATGGATATCGAGTGATTTAAGAGGAAAGAGGATATTTTCGTTTATGTACATGACTGAGTCTAATAGGTTTATAATGTGTTGCAATTTGCCGCGTAGGGTTGCTTCCATTTGACAAGACAGATGTCTGTTTTCGTTGGCTACGAATGAGTGAGTGTGTGAGTGAGTTAGTTTTACAGCCAAATAATCGAGTCTGGACCAGACAATCCAGTGATCAACAGCATGAGCATCGATCTACGCAACTGGGAACCGATGACATGTGCCAACCAAATCAATGAGCCTAACAACCCGATCACGTTAGTCGCCTCTTACCACAATCATGGGTTACTGAAGATCAATTCTAGTCCGGATCTTCACGGGTCCGTTGGTTACGAACCCTACTTTCATCCTGTTTTCAGGTTTGGCAGCACCATTCATTTGTTGATGGGCTTCACCAACGTGGCAAACGTGAAAGACCTCAAGCAAGTAACAGGAATCTTTCCTCTCACACTCGTAATTGGGTGAAGCCCATTTATAGTGTCCTCTGCCGGAATAATGCTAAAAGCGGCGGTAAACCTCACTCACTTACTCACACGAAAATGCTCACAAACCAAACTGATTTTGCGATAATAGCAGCATAATATATAGCAGTATATATATTTACGAAAAAGAAACCACACTTACTTTATAGATCACTTGTGAAGTGATATTCGGCACTCATCTACTCTTCATTGTTTTATTACTTTAGCGAAGAACCATACTTATTCTCCTATCGTGAGAAGCAACAGTCTGCCACATGCATTATTTTTGGAATAATCTTATCTGCAACTACGTCACAGGCACAAGAGTGTCCCGACAAATAGTCTTGTGTATATCCCAGAAATATTCCATTATTACGTAAAAGCAGAGAAGCGTAAGGATACATCAAAGGTATAAAGTGCCAAAACTGAAACACATCAACGGTATATATTCACATATTTGGCTGTTGAGTTATATCACAGAGATACATATGGCGTATACATTTTCATTTAAAACTTTTTCCTTTCGAGTTCCTAGTTTGACATCATCGACGTCTCTGTCACGTGGTGTCAGACAGTTAGATAAGGTATAAAACCATTGGCACTGTGCTTGACATTTTATCTTACACAAGTAGGCCATGATGTTTGAAGCAGTTTTCCGTTTGTGTATATTCCTACCTTACATCTCTGGACTGATTATGCCGGTAGCGAAATCCGACGGTACTGTCAACCTTACCAGTATCTTGAGTCACATCACTCTCCTGGAACAGACTGTGGACACTCTTCACAAGGACACAAACAGGTTGCAGATAGATCTGCGGACTACGAACGAAACACTCCAGCTCACACAGGCAGATCTGAATATTACAAAACAGGAACTACAGACGTCTCGCATAGAACTGCAGGTAACTCGAACAGATCTGAATATTACAAAACAGGAACTACAGACGTCTCGCACAGAACTGCAGGCAACAAAGGTCGACCTTCAACATACACAGACCGATCTTCAAACTACAAAGAAAGACCTTCAGGCCGCCCAGACAGACCTCATGACAAACAAGGGGTTTCAACAATCTGCAGCTGCTGAGATTTTGTCTCTCAAAAACAACATGACCATACTGAGAACCGAACTCGGAATCGTGAAATCAAAAGTTGAAAACACCGGTCCAGATTTTCATCCTCTGAGTTCAACCTCCAACGATTCCCTCTCGTTTCCTTGAATGGGAGCTTCCACCGAACCAGGATGTTATAAGGGCAATTGTTCTGATGTGCAATCAGTTCACAGCGACCTCAACACCACGGCACACACACTTTCAGAGGTCCAGGCCGACATCAATAGCTTTAAGCGGAATATGTCTTCTGCGCTTAGAAATGTAACTGCGGAGTGTACAGCGCTGAAATCTGATTCTCATTTATTCAGTTCCCTCCAGTCGGACATAACAGCAATGGATAACAAATTGTCCTTCTTAAACATAACCGTTCGTGAAGTTCAGTCAGAAGCACGACAAGTTGCAGCTAATACATCTTCTGTGATACAGCTCATTGCTCACAGGCAGTCACTGAAGACTCTAGCACAAGATACGTGGGCCCAATTGAAGCAGTGTGAGAAGAATGTGAACTCAACTGATGCGAGTATGACGGCTCAACTTAACCGTTTGGAAATGGATATGAATTGTACTTCCGTTTATATTCACACCGTCCAACAGAACCTCCTCTCCTCGAGTCTGACCTCAACACGACTCGGGAGGACATCACAATGACGAACTCCGACGTGCATGCGCTGAACAAAACTCTGGGTAAGATCCAGTTATCTTCTATGAATTTGGCGTTTAGTTTTATGGTGAAAAAGTACACATTAATTGCCCTGAACATGGAAAATTGAGCTTAATAAATATAATAGACTCCTTACCTTATGAAATTAATAGACACAATAACACTGCATAGTATGTGGAATATATATTTTGAGAAAAGATCAACTGAACAACTCGTCATGATTGACAAATTGAAACTATCAAATGTTAGTGAGGTTTTACGACTGTAAAATCACTTAATTTTGAAATTATCTGAACAAGATGGCTCCACGGATAGTTATTAAAACTAATATGTAAAACCTAAGGTACCTGTTATGATAAGCCAAGTCACGAGATTGCTGCTTGTGTGTTTAAAACTATGGGGCTCTGAAAAGATACACAAAAGTATCGCAACGACTCTGATTTTAATCCCAATATAGCCATGCATATTCATATCATAATTATGATTGTATGATTAGTTTGAACATTTCGGACGCACCACACATTGGTTTAAATATTCACGTCAAGTTTTATCTAGAAAACATGGAAAATCAATTGATTTTGTTGTTGATAAGCAAATATGGATCCTGCTCAAACTCACAACTGACAAAGAGAGCAAGTTATTGGTATGCTGAATGCTGGCATGTCACTGAGGGATATTGCAAGGTTGTCATCTAGCGACTGTCAGCCGATTGGGGAGGGAACATCGTCAAACTGATGACGTTAAGCAAACTAATAGGTAGGAATGATACATTTGACCTGGCATTTTGACTGCCCTAGGAGACTTGGCATTTTGTCTAGCTGTACACCAATGTTTGTGTTCCAAATATTTCGGGCGTTACTTGTTGGCGTTTTTTTATACCATAGGTTTGGGGTCCAGGTTGTATTTGCACCTACTGCTTTTTCTACTCTTTGATCTGATTGCTAATCAGTGATGGTCAGGCACTTGCAGAGATTCTTACATTTCCAATACAGGAAATATTACATTATACATTTAACCTCGTGTTCTTTCATCGCAGCATCCAAAACCCGAGCCGTGGCTTTCCAGGCGTATGCATCAAGGTCCCGCAATGTAACGTCACAACACCCCGTGGTGTACGACAGCACCATCTACAACATCGGATCTGGCTACAACCACACAACCGGGAATTTCACAGCACCAGTCTCCGGAACCTACATGTTCTGGACAGAATTGCGTATCAATTCCTACGCCTACACTCCGCACATGACTATCAAACAGTCGGGAAGGTCAATCGGCAGTGGTTGGTCTGCATCAACGTCTACAGATGATGAGTCCGTTATTTCCGCTACGTGTGTTAGTCATCTGCAGAAGGGCGAGGCAGTATGGGTGGAGTTTGAAAAGTTTGCATGGTGGGCAACTGCTGTCTCTGTTGTCCCAGGTGGCTTTGATACAAGGCCAAAATCCTTCTTTGGTGGTGCCCTTTTAACAGTGGACTAATTTTATTACCGGGCATCCACTTCAATCCATTAGGACCCTTTTAGCAGTTACCAAGCAACCAAAATGTGTGATCATGAAAATTTGTGAAGTCACTGGTTTACTTGAAACAAAATTCACTCATTCAACCTTGAGTTTGTTAGGTCCAGGACCTTATGATGACTTACGATATGGTCAGACACTGTGACTCTGCAGATTGTATCATATCTCAAAGACACGGGTTATGCCGTTTCCGCCTTGTCATCTAAGCCTCTATAATTTCACAGGTCACACTAAACAACAAACAATACAACGTAATTTAGTTATCATCAAGGCCATTTCAGAAGCAAGATCTGTTTTGAAGCTGCAGTTATCTCTATGCTGATTGCCAGTAAATTATCACATGAATATTATGAGCAACCATCCACGCAACTATGTTGACATAACGTTTTCAAGATTCATAGGTGGCTAAGGATCAACATCTACAGGAGAACAAAATATGACCAATACCATGTTTTAAAATCATGTTTATTGCCTAAAGCAAACACATGATGCTAGAAGATCAGGTATTCCCCAGTTAGAAGTATTTCTGTAAGGGTTCTCCCAGGGTCCTCTCCATGTCCGCTATGACAGTCTGGCAGCGTTTCTCAACTTCTTCATTTTCATCTGACTAAACAAAAAGACAAACAAATTAAAATGAGTTCAGCTAGGAAAGGAATGGTCTCCGGTAGTAGTGGCAAGAAGTCATCCAGGAGCTTCTTGTGGAACTCTTCTATCACTTCCAGGGCAGCAAACTTGACCTGCACGATCATAACACATCTTGCAGTCATTGATTGATTGTTGGCTGTAAGTAATCGAATCTGGACCAGACAATCCACTGATCAACAGCCTGACCATCGATCTACGCAATTGGGATACGATGACATGTGTCAACCAAGTCAGCGAGCCTGACCACCCAATCCCATTAGGTCCATCTTATGGCAAACATGGGTTGCTGAACACCAATTCTTATCTGAACTTTCGTGGGTTTGATTTAATTGTGACTTACTCGGTCAACGATTGGTTGCATGAGTGTTTCGAACCTCTCGGCAGATACAAAGCCATCAAACTGTCGTATAGGAAGCACTTGTATAGTGTGTCAAATACACAGGACAACAGCTGGGTAGACATCTTCCGGGACCGCTTGCTCTTACCGAAGTACCTGCCATCTGGTAGAAACTGACTTTATTGGTATACATGTACTTGGGTGAATATTACAAAGCTTGTACATGTCCTGATCACAGGAGACAATCCCAAACGTCCACACATATGCAGTCTTAAGGATCTACATACAGCACGATTCAAAGAAGCTGTAACCTACTTAGCAACGAATCTCCATAGGAAAACCAATGATAAATACAAACTAGCACAAAAGTTGGCGAAAATTTGGTCTGTCCTTCAGAAAACTGATACCAATAGTACAATATTTTCTCTTGTGGCAGCTTTAAGACAGTCGCCACTATATTTCCCATCAGATTTTGAGGTGTTTACCTTAATGCTGATTTCCTTAAAACATGCGCTCCAAAGCACGGAGCGAGTTGGATTTAAAGCCACTTTAAACAGTATACATTTATATTGTGGTAGGTCAGCTTAATACAGGAGGAAAACCCGAAGTGAAGCAGGTCTTAGACGTTTGGGACGCTGGTTATACCCATGTGCACGGGTATAGGGCTGACAAATCTAGAAACAACTAGAATCCACTATCATTGGTTTCTGGCATGTTCATGGGACAACCATGCACTGTGCCCTACCGTGCCTCCACCAAGGCATTTGGAAAGGCAATGGTAAAAAAGACAACCAATTACAGCATCAGTTTTTCTAACTGTCTGGACATGTATGTGTGCATGCTTATATAAAACCTGGGAGCCATTTCACGCATCAGTGATAGTAAGAATGTGGATAATTTCATTTCTCTTCGTGGGCAAAAATGATCACTCAAAAACTGAAAAGTGTACAGAGGCCCTTCGATTCCATTTATGAAATTCAAAAGCAGGAAAGTATTTTGCATACAAGCTTAATCGGGTAAGATAATAGAGAATGTAAGCAGTATGATCTGGATGTTCCCGAAACAGTTTCTCCTCCCACAGTTTGTCCTACCTTCTCTACTGTACAAATTGTGACTTTTCAACTTCTCCGCCAGTCTGGAGAACCAGTCATCTGCAAAAGGACGAGGAGAAGTGGGTGCAGTTTGAACAGTTCCGTTCACGTATTCCATTAACAGTCACAATTCTTTCAGGCAGCTATGTAGGAGATCCGATATCCTACTTTGGTGGTGCCCGTTTCATAATGGACTATTTCATTACCAGACGTCTATATCAACAGTTTTGTCCAATTCATCAAGACTTCATTGGCCGTCCAATCTTTAAAATACTTGTACGGGCAATCCAGACCGATCTGACTTTCTGCAGGGTAACGATAAAGTTAACCAATATGTGGGATGAATTCCATTCCTCTGTATTTTTAGCACACTTGTCGAGAAATCGAAGCAATACCAACACGCATTATCCGCGCCAGCACAATATTTATAGGAACAATAACGGCAGCAGTTATCAACTGATTTTGGGTGATGGGGTAGCCTAGTGGCTAAAGCGTTCGCTCGTCACGCCGAAGACCCGGGTTCGATTCCCCCGAGGGTACAATGTGTGAAGCCCATTTCTGGTGTCGCCCGCCGTAATATTGCTGGAATATTGCTAAAAGCGGCGTGAAACTAAACAGCTCGATAGCTAGACTTTTGAAATGGCTGCTGTCAGTACAACGCTATTTGGTAACGGGATAAGATATAACATTTGTGTTCCGAAAACCCGTTCAATGTACTTCGCCAATAATTTCGAAGGTGTTTGTGGTCGTACATATAACACTCTGGAGTGTATTGTGAAAATATGAAAACACCCTCTGTTCATCAATACGTTACTATACAAGTAAGCCAATGCGGTCTTTATCTTACCAGGCTTGACAGAAACCTGTAATCGTTGGTTACTTATCGTACAGTCATACCGTCTATAGGTTTGGTAGCCCCATTTATTTGCTGAAGGATTTCAACAACGTGGTATGGTTGGGTGAGACCGTTGGGTAGCCAAGGTGGTTGAAGCGTTAACAAGTTTAAATCACGCCGAACACGCGGGCTCGATTCTCGAAATAGTTACCATGTGTAAAGCCTATTTCTTGTGACACCTGCAGTGAAAATGTTGGAATATTGCTAAAAGCGGCGTTAAACCTCACTCGCTCACACAAAAAGATCCACGCAAATCATGCGTTAATTGAATTAGTATATGCGAAAAGGAAACCACACTTACTTTCTGGATCACTTGTGAAGTGATGTTTGTTACTCATCACCCCTTCATTGTTTTATTACTTTACCGAAGAACCCTACTTTTTTACCTATCACGAGTGGCACCAGCGCGCCACATTGATATTTTTAGAGTTCCTTAATCTTATCTGCAACTATGTCAAAGGTATAGGATTGTCCCGACATATGGTTCAAGATAGCCTTCTGCATATCCCAGAAATGTGCCATTATTACGCATGGAAGAGAGGCGTAAGCATACATCAAAGGTACGAAGAGCCAATACTAAATCACACCATGGGTATATATTCACATATTTGGCTGTTGATGCAAATGACAGAGACACTTATATATTTTCATTGTGATATTTTTTCCTTTTGAGTTCCTAGTTTTACATCGGTGACATCTCTGTCACGTGGTGTCAGACAGTTAGATAAGGTATAAAACCATTGGCACTGCGCTTGAATTTTTATCTTATACAAGTAAGCCCTGATGTTTGAAGCAGTTTTCCGTTTGTGTATATTCCTACCTTACATCTCCGGACTGATTCTGCCGTTAACGAAATCCGACGGTACTGCCGACCTTACCACTATCTTGAGTCACATCACTCTCCTCGAACAGAATGTGGACACTCTTCGCAAAGACACAAATAGGTTGCAGATTGATCTGCGGACAACGAACGAAAGACTCCAGCTCACACAGGCAGATCTGAATATTACAAGACAGGAACTACAGGCGTCTCGCACAGACCTGCACATAACTCGAACAGATCTGCAGGTGACAAAGTACCAGCTTCAACATACACAAACCGATCTTCAAATTACAAAGCAAGACCTTCAGACGGCCCAGACAGACCTCTTGACAAGCAAGGGACTTCTAAATAATCTGCAGCTGCTGAGATTTTGTCTTTCAAAAAAAACGACACATGACCACACTGAGAACCTCCGAACTCGGAATCGTGAAAACTAAAAGTGGAAAACATCCGTCCAGAGCTGTCTTCCTCTGAATTCAACCTCCAACGATTCCTCTCTCGTTTCCTTTGAATGGGAGCGTTACAGCGAACCAGGATGTTATAAAGGCAATAGTTCTGGATGTGCAATCACTTCACGGCGACCTCCAGTACACCACGCTTCGCCTGCTACTACACTTTCAGATGTCCAGGCCTGGCATCAATATCAATAGCTTCTCTTAAATGGAATATATCTTCTGATGTATTTGATGTTTAGTTTTAAGGCGAAAATGTACATATTAATTGTCCCGAACATGGACAATATAAGTCACCAAATGAAACAATGTCTCAGCAAAACTAGGGGCGGTTGGGTAGCCTAGCTGTTAAAGGGTCCGCTCGCCAAGCTGAAGGCCCGGCTTCGATTCCCCACATGGGTATAATGTGTGAAGCCCATTTCTGGTGTCCCCCGCCCTGATGTTGCTGGAATATTGCTAAAAGCGGCGTAAAACCATACTCACTCACTCAGTCAACAAAACTTCCACAATAACACTGCATGGTATGTCGGATGTGAATTTTGATAAATGACCAACTGTCATGGTTGTCAAACTGAAACTATCCACTGTTTGTAAAGGATTTTACAACTAAAACCTTTAAAATGAGTTCAGTTTGTGTGACCCATATAGCTCCCCAGATAGGCTTACAACCAGTTCAGAAACTCTTACGTAACAAATTTACCATGAGTAAAAAAAGTTGGCTGCTGAAAATGTTTGAAAACTAGCTGGAATGGAGACGGTGTATACGAACTTGTCTCACACCAATGTTCGGGTGACTTGGCACTGCCTGTGTTTATGTGCCAAATGTTTGGGTGTTGCTTGTGTTTGAACCCACTAGTTTGTCTGCACCGGATTCGATATTTTAATCACAATGAACAATCTTTGGAGAGTTTGATACTTGAGAAATAAACTTGCAAGAATTATTTCATATACAGTACAAGAAAACATCATTTTTGTATTAACCCACCTGTTCCTTTACCGCAGTGTCAAAAACCAGAGCCGTGGCTTTCCAGACGTATGCATCAAGTCCCCAAAACGTAACGTCACTACACCCCGTGGTTTATGAAAGCATCATCTACCACATTGGACCTGGCTACGACCACACAACGGGGAAGTTTACAGCACCAGTGTCCGGAACCTACATGTTCTGGGCACAGGTGGGCATTCGTCTCGTTAAGTACACTCCATCCATGTCGATCGTCCAGTCGGGAAGAACAATCGGCAGCGGTTGGTCTGCTCTAAGGTCATCTTCTAATGACAGGGTAGTTTCCGCTACGTGCGTTAGTCATCTGAAGAAGGGCGAGGAAGTATGGGTGCAGTTTGAAAAAGAGTACTTTTGGGGTAACATGCGGCCATCTACAGTCACAGTTCAATCAAGTTTCTATGACACAGATCCGAAATCCTACTTTGGTGGTGCCCTTTTGTCAATGGACTGATTTCATTACCATATATTTGCTTCAACATTTTTGTATAATTTATCAAGACTTCATAGGCAGTTTAATCTCACAATTATTGATCTCTTTAAAAAAGTTTTACAGCCATTTCAGATCGATATACTATAAAAAGGAGGGAATATTACTACTGACATAAAATCTGTAATGAGATAACTTAAATATGACGAAGTTTAACTGACTGACTGAGATTGGTTTTACGCCGCTTTTAGCAATATTCCAGCAACATCACGGCGGGGACACCAGAAATGGGCTTCACACATTGTATCCATGTGGGGATTCGAACCCGGGTCTTCGGCGCGACGAACCAACGTTTTAACCATTAGGCTACCCCACCGCCCCACAAAGTTTAACAGTGTAACTAGGTCGCAGTGGGTGAGACGACCATAGATTTTGTCGGATGACTGGTCAATACGTCGTACGTTCCAAGTCATTCACCATGCAAATAATTACTATTGATATCATTGGTATCAAAGGATATCACAGCAATAATTATATACTGAATTAATAACACTTAATGACTTACGATCATCTAATACACACTGATATTGGGACGAGTAAGAGGCTATTTCCTGTAATCTAAAGCTAACTGAAGAGTGCTGTCATTGAAACTCCTCCCTCCGAAAGAGCAGGCATGGAGGCAGGGATGGAGGAGTACTATGACCATACACCAATCTTTGTATCCGACTACCACAGGTGGTGTGAAGAGGATTCGTACAAACAGTTGAATGACAAGTTGACTAATTGGGTGCATCAAAGTACCTTGCAGCTGACCTCTTATCCATCATTTAAAGGTCATTAAAAGTGGTACCTCACTGAAGAATATCGGTATGCAAAAAAGTATGTAAAACCACTTGTCTATTTACAGGAGTTAGAGAGTATTATACATTTGAATACGATAATGTTCATATCGACACCACAGAGTTGTTAATGATCACTTATTTAGAAATGAAAGGCATGTTCCATGAACAGGAAGTCCAACCAATAACTGGTCAGAGTACCCGTCAATGAGGGTATCTGACCTGTGCAACTGTAAGAAGCGCCTATGTGACACACGTGACGCATTAAGACCCTGTTCTTGTGCTTCCAGCAAGTGTCTTGATTTACTCTTCAGTAAGAGCATTGCCGTGTTCTTGTAAGAGGAGATAGGACCTCATAGGAGGGCAATCTGCCGTTTGGTCTGTGCTCGATAGTGTTGAGGTCCCGGCTGACCCGGCTGACCACTCATTATTGTTCATGTGGATGAAATCTGCTACGATTCCATTAGTAAGTGTCATGTAAGCATCCAGAATGTCTCCCTTGGAGCACACACCTGTCACCGTGCCACAGTGAAGGATATGGAGATTGGTTATTTGATCTAAACCTAATCGACATGGGCTAAGATCTTGCCTTAATCTACTGGTATGCCTTGTCAAACGCCACTATAAGGGCAGCATTATTATCTTTTGTGTTTCTCATCGCCTAACAGACCCTTCTAAGTTAATTGCCGACCCCTCAAAAAATAATATTTTTTTATTCCAACACCGCCGACTCGAACCTAAAACGTACCGCCTCGTGATATAAAATGTTTATCTATCTAAAATGTCTTAATCAGTCGCTGCCACAAGACCAAAGAACGTGAGAAATTGTACTAAGAATTACAACAAGCATTGTCACTAAGGTGACATAATCCCCCGCAAATTATCAAATCAAACTTATAAAGTAATGAAAGTTTGAGATGAAGTTAAATGTCAACAGTAACATTATCTTGCTCTTTAGTTGTTCAAACACACATATTTTCAAGACTGACTTTGACCTTGACATGAATGTCATAGTGTATGCAATATGCAAAACTAGTGCTAAAGAAATTGCTTATTGAAAAACATTCAAGGGAGGTCTTGAAAGTCTATGAAGAAAATCCAGTGAACCGTTCTTAAAATATCTTGCTGACAATTCAGGTTAACATTCTGAAAACTTCATAGTGTCGTCATGACCCAAAACATTATGTGAAGGTCGCCAAAATTGACTGGGCCCTGGGCCTTCCCTAGATGAAACATGGTGTCAAATATGAAGAAAATCCACTGAATATTTTTTGCGATATCTTGCTGACTATCTTAACAAACAATTTAACATGCTGAAATGTTCAAAGTGTCTCTGTGACCTTGACAATTAAGTGAAGGTCACCAAAATCGACTGGGCCCTGCGCCTTCCCTGGATGAAGCTTGGTGTCAAATATGAAGAAACTCCAGTGAATGGTTCTTGAGGTATCTCGCTGACAAGCATAACATGTAGGTTAATATGCTGAAATGTTCAAAGTGTCTCTGTGACCTTGAAAATTAAGTGACGGTCACCAAAATCGACTGGGCAATAAATGAGAATGAAGAACATTATTCGGATAGTTTTGTCTTTATTAATTTTAAATTTTTTCCACTGACCGACCGACCGACCCATGTTGAAAATTTTGTGGCACATTAACAAAAACTGATGCCCTAACCAGCAAATGCCCCAATTTGGGTGTATGACTATGAGTTCAATTATTAATGCAGCCATTTCAGAAATCAAGGTTTTCTGGTTTGAAGCTGCACTGATCACTGTGGTGCTAGCCTGTAAATAATAAAGTGATTAACATCAGCAATCATCAATCAACTAAGACGCCAACAATCATAAGTGGCTTGGAACCAACATCTGAACCCAACAACCAGAAGAAACATTATCACAAGTGTTTTATCATTGTTTATTGCCTAAGGCTGCTGATGTTGAACAAGTAGACATGCTCCAGTCCAGTTAGAAGTATTTCTGTAAGGGTTCTCCCAGGGTCCTCTCCATGTCCGCTATGACAGTCTGGCAGCGCTTCTCAACTTCTTCATTTTCATCTGAAAAACAAAACGGCAAAATTTCTAAAAGCATGAGCAATACAGTAGTAGAATGTAATCAAAGTGCATTCCCCGAAACAGCTGAGGTCAGCTGATCCACTACAAGAAAGATTCAAAGTGCTCACCCTCCATTAGTTCAGCTAGGAAAGGAATGGTCTCCGGCAGTAGTGGCAAGAAGTCATCCAGGAGCTTCTTGTGGAACTCTTCTATCACATCCAGGGCAGCAAACTTGACCTGCATGATCATAACACATCTTGCATTCATTGATTGATTGTTGGCTGTAAATAATCGAATCTGGACCAGACAATCCACTGATCAACAGCCTGACCATCGATCTACGCGAATTGGGAATCGATGAGATGTGTCAACCAAGTCAGCAGCCTGACCACCCGATCCCGTTAGGTCCATCTTATGGCAAGCATGGGTTGCTGAACACCAATTCTCATCTGAACTTTCATGGGCATCAATCTGTGCAACTAAGATTCCATGACATCTGTCAATTAAGTCAAAGCACCTGACCACCCGATCCTGACAGTCTCCTGTTATGATATGCATAGGTTGCTGAAGATCAATTAATAGGCAGATCACAGGTGACACACTTTGCAAGTATGTTATGGGTGAGAATGGCGTAAAGCTGCCTCCAATATTGCAGTTCAAATCATAGCATGTCAGGCTGATGTGATGCATCTCTGTCTGTCAGATCTTACACACAACGGCTGCTGAATGCATACCTTACAAGTATATTAATTAAGGTGTACAAACAGTGCTGAAAGGTTAAACTGGCTGAAAAGCTCACCTGTGGGGAGGGGTTCCTTGTCTTGAGAAGGATCTGGTAGTTCATGGTGTTCCAGTGGGAGTCATCTCTAGCTGCCACTGCAAACTGACCAATACACCGAACCAGATTCTGAGAAACTCGACTCTTGTATGTCTCCTCATCTCCCTGGGTGTTCTCAATCTGAAGATGACAAAAGATCATTGATATACATAGTCATAGTGAGTGAGTGAGTTTAGTTTTACCCTGCTTCCAGCAATATCACGGCAGGGGACACCAGGACACATTGTACCCATGTCGGGAATCTTTGTCATGACGAGCCATCGCTTTTACCACTAGGCTACCCTACCGCCCCACATCGTCATGGAAACATGTAAGAACATGAATGGCCTCAAAACATTCTGTTCCATCATTCAACATGAATTGACTGTTTTTTGTTTTGTGTTTCTTTGTTGTTTGATGCTGCACTGAGCAATATTCCGACTATATCAAAAAATGAGTCCTGACCAGACAATCCAGTGATCAACATGACCATTGATCTACACTTATGGGATATGATGTGTCAACAAATTCAGTGAGACCACCCAATCCCATTTGTGGCCTCTTACGATAACCATGGGTTGCTGAAGACCAATTCTAATCCTGATTTTCACAGTTATGAATTAATTTGAACTTACCTGGTCAACAATTGGCTGCATGAGTGTTTCAAACCTCTCGACGGACACAAAGCCATCACTGTCGTACAGGAAGCACTTGTATAGTGTATCCAGGACACAGGACAACAGCTGGGTAGACATCTTCCGGGACCGCTTGCTCTTACCGAAGTACCTGCCATCTGATAGAAACAGGTGAGGTGAATGGATTTCAACATCGTACTAATATTCGCTCATATGACGATGTTCATGTGTGTGTATCATCCTCGATAATCTCCAGGGTATACGTTACGATCACCCTCCACTATACCCTGGATGCATCCACGGCTTGGCCCGATTATTTTATTACCTCCCTTTGCTTGCTTTTTTATCCAATCAGGTGTCTACGCTGGGAAGTTGAGCGAACCAATCACAACTCACTTTCGCTTCTTAAATTATCGAACCGTTTAAACTTGGCAACACAATTGATGCACAGGTACTCTGAAAGAGGTAGAAGAGTTTTTTCATATATTACTTTTAAAGTTTCAGATCTGTCAATTTGTCTGTATTATTTCCCCAAATCTGAGTGGCACTGCGAACAAACCTTCGCGACTGCGACCGCTATCTTTGTTGACACTGGCAAGCTTGGATGTAACGGCGGCTTGGCTGATTGGCTACTGTGAGAATGCGGAGCCAGCAAAGGGAGGTAATATAATTATTGGGCCAAAGCGTTGATGCATCCAGGGTATAGTGAGAGAGATCGTAGCTATACCCCCTGAGATTATCGAGGATGGTGTGTGCATGTGTGGCTGCTTGTACTAGCTCAGACTTTAGCTGGTTGTATAGTGCTAGCTCACTGAGATACCATGCCACAGCCAAGCCAGAATACCCCCTCAGACACATTATACTGACTCAAGCCGATCAGTCCTTGTTTTACCCGAAGCTAGGCAGGGACAAACAAGTACCATATTTTAATGTCTTTTGGTATGACGCGGCTAGGAATCGAACCCACAACATTCTGCTCTCTGATAGAAACAGACTTTATTGGTATAGTTGGGTGAACATTGTAAAGCTTGTACATCCTGATCAGAGAAGACAATCCAGATATTCCACATATATGCAATCATAAGGATCGACATACAGTTCTATACAAAGAAACTAACATGGTTTGTAAGTAATCTCCATAGGAAACCGAGATAGACACAAACTACACAAAAAGTATGTGCAAATCAGGATGAGTGAGTGAGTTTAATTTTACGCTTTTGGCAATATTCCACCAATATCACGGCAGGGGACACAGTACAATACTTTATGTTGTGGCAACATTAGAACAAGTATTTGTTGCATGCTTACTAGGGCTGCACAATATAACCGGTTTACCGGTATTTACCCGCTCAGACATGAAATCGTTATGTTTTGTGATCACGGCTCATTGAAAACCGGTATTTAGACATGCATTCTGAAAACCTCGTAACACTCAGAAATCTTCGGATATTTCAAGCTTTTCACACAGGAAGTCAAGTTAAGTTCGATTTGAAGTTGTGTTCTTAATTTTTATTCAAGTATTTCGCAATGTTTTGGATCTGAATGTTTTAGATATTTACTCATTAATGACCAGTGATCTTTGATATGTAAACTAGTAGCCACTGTGTTGATGTTAAAATGTTCTTTTCCTTGTTTCATTTGTGCCAAATATTATTTATTTTGTCATGATTAAAAGTTTTTATTAAAGCTTAATCAAGCATAGTGATTTTGTTGTGTTTTTGTTTTATAATTCAAGCATTAACTCAATTTTAAGTAGTTTTTGTATTATAAAATTCTTGCATATATTATATGCTTCTGCATTGCAATATATCGCGATATGAAATTTCTCTGCAACACCCACCCCTGATGCGTACATTAAACTTCCACCCCCATCATGCCTTAAAAAAATATAATAAATCCACTTTTCACAAACTTTCAAACTCATTTGTGATCAGTTATATCAGTGTCAAATTTCATTTCTCTCAGTGGGCAAAAACGATCTCTCAAAAACTGAACAGTGTGCAGATGTCATTCCATTTATGAGCCCCATTTCATGGCTGGGGCTAACAAATAACATATGGCCATGCCAAGGGATTATAGGCAGTATGACCTGGATGTTCCCCCAGTTTGTCTTACCTCCTTTACTAGTGTTGTTCTGGTCCAAGACCTCCCCAGCATGCTTCACAATGTAACCAGCAAACAGTGTGAACAGACTCTTCAACTTGTCCGCCAGTCTGGAGAGAAACATTGCACACCATCTTACAGTTACTCGCAAAGTATCTTAAGATAGCACTTGGATATGGATTTGTATCAACAAACTGTGACGAAAACAATATTCATAACAGATGATATTCCAGCTATATGGTGCCAAATAGTCTGTAAATAATGGAGACTGGTTGGTTGTTGACAATCGCAGTGATCAACAGCATGAGCATCGATCTCTGTAAATAATGGGAACCGATGACACAATCCAGTGATCAACATCAAGAGCATCGATCGCGCTAAGCCTGACCACATGTGATCCCAACCAAGTCGAGCCTCTTACTACATCCCGCATATGTTCTTGAAGACCAATATCAGGGTTGGTGAAGACCACTCGCCTGACCAAGTAATTTGCTTCTTATGATGGACAAAACCTCTGCCCTGGAGACCCCACTGAGTGGCATCAGCATGAGTCAGCGGTAATGGTTTTACAGCTTTTTCAATACATTCCAGCAAAATTACACCAAGAATGGGTTTCACACATTGTACGCAGACAGGGATTAAAACCCAGGCTGTTAGTGGGGTAAACACTTGAACCATGAGACTACTGGAGCTGTGACAATATATCGTAGTATCGATAATTGTGATACTATATCTGACGATAAATATATCGATACTTTTTTCGAATCATGATATGTATCGTTGACCTTAAAATTATGAATTTTCACCAGAAATTGACGGTTATGTCAAAATTTACACTGTTACTTGCTATCAAAATATTCATTTTGAAAGAAAATAACTAAAGATAGCATATCGTGATATGCATCGAATCGAACCGTATCGTTCCAAGATATCGCAATACGTATCGTATCGTGAAATTTCTGTATCGTCACACCTCTAGAGACTACCCATTCCCACTATCATCTACGGTCAGGAGATGGTGCATAAAGTCTGAGCAGCCCATGCTGGATGTTGGAGGCAGCATACAGGAGTGGGTGGTCAGACTGGTTGACGCATGTCATCATGTTCCAACAAAACCAATCATGTTCTTTTTTTCTATTCCTTAACAGTAATATAGGTGAGAGACATATTAAAACAACAAGTGTGTGAGTGAGTTTAGTTTTACGTGCACTCAACAATATTCCAGCTATATGGGGGCGGTCTGTAAATAATCGAGTATGGACCAGACAATCCAGTGATCAAGAGCATGAGCATCGATCTACGTAATTGGGAACCGATGACATGTATCAAGTCTAACCCGGACTTTCACGGGTGAAAACAACAAGTAAACAATTAAAACAAATATTCTGAGTAGACTTTCGCTTGACATACCTGTCTGCCAGTCTGTAGAACACCAGAACCCGTGACTTCATGTCGTCTTGTCGGGTTGCCCAGTCAAACACCTGAAACAAAATAGGCAACATGTTGTAATGACTGGAGAATTTAACCTTGTTGTGTAATCATGGGACAACTGATAATAGTTGTAGCTAGTTATAACCACGTATATTTTGTTTAAATATTGATCAGCTCTTACACTGCATCTTTGATGTCCACAATGGGGATCTTGCATGATTTACTTATTCCAGCAATACCATGATGGAATGTATTACAGTGCTCTAATGTTCCAGGTTCCATAGTACTGAATGTCATCAAAAACAGTGCAATCTTTATTCTTTGACATTTAGTGGAACAATTATGCCTGTATCATACACGACTGACTGACTGACTGAGTTTGGTTTTACGCCGCTTTTAGCAATATTCAAGCAACATTACGGCGGGGGACACCAGAAATGGGCTTCACACATTGTACCCATGTGGGGATTCGAACACGGGTCTTCGGGGTGACAAGCCAATGCTTTAACCACAAGGCTACCCCACCACCCCCGTATCATACACGATGTTTAGGTACATCGTATAGGTTGGCACCTCTGCTCCTTTTGTTTTGTGATTAGAGATCCCTTCTAGTGTAAGGCTGTGTAGTAGGACACACTTGAGGAGCCAAACTGACCTTGAAGAGCATGGGTCTAAAAGTTGCCTCAGACATCTTCATCACCATGCAGATTACCGTGCTGATCACAGAGTCCTCAATCTGGTTTATCCTGGACAGTGATTCCTGAAGACATACAGATCATATGCTGGTTACCATTCTTGATACACATAGTTTGTGAGTGTTCTGTTGTAATTTCATAAGTATTTGCCAAATGAAAAGATGCCTATTCATATCATGGTTGAAAGACAACAGACACCTAAATAGAAGCTTCATCATATGACACAGCTGAATGCGATGTTGTAGTCTACAAGTAATGTGCTTCCAAACATGTGCCTCTGAAGACTCACCTTGGGATAGCCACCCTGATGACTCACCTTGGAACAGTCTGCCCTGAAGACTCACCTTGGGATAGCCGCCCTGATGACTCACCTTGCAACAGTCTGCCCTGAAGACTCACCTTGGGATAGCCGCCCTGATGACTCACCTTGGAACAGTCTGCCCTGAAGACTCACCTTGGAATAGCCGCCCTGATGACTCACCTTGGAACAGTCTGCCCTGGTGACTCACCTTGCAACAGTCTGCCCTGGTGACTCACCTTCGGATAGTCTGCCCTGGTGACTCACCTTGGAACAGTCTGCCCTGGTTACTCACCTTCGGACAGTCTGCCCTGGTGACTCACCTTGGAACAGTCTGCCCTGAAGATTCACCTTGGAACAGTCTGCCCTGGTGACTCACCTTGGAACAGTCTGCCCTGGTGACTCACCTTGGAACAGTCTGCCCTGGTGACTCACCTTGGAACAGTCTGCCCTGAAGACTCACCTTGGAACAGTCTGCCCTGAAGACTCACCTTGGGATAGTCACCCTGACGACTCACCTTAGAACAGTCTGCCCTGATGACTCACCTTGGAACAGTCTGCCCTGAAGACTCACCTTGGCAAAGGTGAGAGTCTGCCCTGATGACTCACCTTAGAACAGTCTGCCCTGGTGACTCACCTTGGGATAATCTGTCCTGAAGATTCACCTTGGCAAAGGAAAGTCTGCCCTGAAGACTCACCTTGGCAAAGGTGAAAGTCTGCCCTGATGACTCACCTTAGAACAGTCTGCCCTGGTGACTCACCTTGGAACAGTCTGCCCTGGTGATTCACCTTGGAACAGTCTGCCCTGAAGACTCACCTTGGGATAATCTGTCCTGGTGACTCACCTTGGAACAGTCTGCCCTGGTGACTCACCTTGGAACAGTCTGCCCTGGTGACTCACCTTGGGATGGTTGGTCCTGAAGTCAAGACAGGTGAAGAAGAAGGCCAGGATGTCGTTGTGGAAGCTGGCGAGGTTCTCCCGGTTCATCTCCTTGATGTGGGCCTCCAGCAGAGACATGATACACTCCAGACATTCCTGACAAGACACACTGTGGTTAAATGGCTGCCACAATCTTTAGCATCAATCCAACAGGGAATCACATCTGTGTGGTTTTGTAACACATTTTACAGGAGCCTCGTTTGGGTTATGATCTTTACATGGGGCACAACATGCATAAATCTAAACATGAATGTTAAATTACTTTAAATAACTCAATCAAATAGTCTCTCCCTATGTGAAACATCAGTATATCCAGATATGTGTGTCATCACAGTCAATTCTGTTTGAAGCCCTTGATGAAATGGAAAGCGAACAGTCGATGATTTTATCCTGAAAGCAGACCCACTCAGTTTCCACAATAAGTTGCAGATCCTTTGAATACAAAACCACCTATACCAGCTGGAAAAGGTCTACAGGGGCAATACATACTTGGTGTTCTTCCACCAGGTTCGTGTAACATGACACGATGGTTGGAAGGATGACACGTGTTGGAAGGACTGTGGCCATCGCATGACTGCAAAAGAAAAGTGACTTCATTTTGAGTGCAACACACAGCACGGGTATGAAGGCTGGAGTAGATTTAAGAGTAAGCACCCGTGCACATTGATTTGCATTGCCTTGTACCACTGGAACAGTGCCCCTGTAGTGGTGCTAGATCCCCAGGAAATGGCATGTACGTAAGTCTATTCACCTGGTGTTGTATGGGGTATCCCAGAAATGTAACCTGACCAAAATCCGAGAACCAACAAACATGACTGGCGGAAAAAGACAACACTAAAGTTTCTGCTCATAACATTTGCACCTTTTAGCAAGATGTACTGATGGAAAGCTATATATGGTTTAATGTCGCTATTAGCAATATCACAGTGGGGACATCAGAAATGGGCTTCACACATTCTACCCATGTGGGGAATCGAACCCAGGGCTTAGGCGTGACGAGCGAATGCTTTAACCACTAGGCCACCCCACCGCAAAAGCAATCAACATCTGAGGAATGAAACACATAGCCGACCCAGGCAGTCTTACCGAATGGCGAGAAGACGCTGCTGAACTTGAGGCTTCTGAGGAGACTCCCCTCCAGACAGGAGGCAGTACTGGAAAAACAAACAACGATCATGAGTAGCCAAGACTTTTATTCTAATAATTATGATATGGGGAAAGGTCCTGCACGCATCACTTACCTCCCAGATGTAGTAAAGCACAAACAAACACATCAGGAGGATTAATGTATTCCAAACATTAATAAGAAATAAAACATGAATTTAAATCATTCATTCATTCATTTCCACTGCAAAGGATGAGCGATAATGTTACCAATTTCAAATAATATTTGAAGCAGCGTTTATGAGTACACACAGTTGCAAGGAAGGTAGTATCTGTATACTGACATGTTTGGTGATGTCCAGGATGTAGGGGGGGCTGAGGAAGTCTGGCAGATTCTCCACCACCTTGCTGATGACTGTCACACAACTCTGCAGCAGCAGCTCATTCCTACAACACAGGCGGTCTGTGAACATGCGTGGAGCTCATGTTGGCTCTGTCAATGGGTCTGAGTGAGTCATTGTGCTAAACTGCAAGAGGGAACTTCTGAGTCAGCAATATTCAAACAGTATCACAGCAACGTCAATGTGTCTGGTGAGTAATTATTGCTAAACTGCAAGAGGGAACTTCTGAGTCAGCAATGTTCAAGCAGTATCACAGCACCTATGTCCATTGACTGATAGATACCTAAGAAAAAAACCTCATCAGCTTTAAACTGGTGACTCCTGAAGATTTTTCTGTCACTGCTTGTCAGATTTAAATGAAAGGAAAGATGAGAGTGATTGACGCCTCAGGTGTTAACTCTTTGGTAAACCCAGGAGCACAGGTATGGTGCTGATCCACCTAGTAATATTATCATTGAGAACTGGGATTCAAATTCATGATCACAGGTTTCTGGCACACCCAAGGGAAGCAACTCTGTAATGCAAATTGTGATGCCTAGGATCACTGGGAGACTAATACAGGTTTCCATACAGACATTATAAATCAAGTAAATCCTACATAAATCTTGACAAATGGAGGCAAAACAGAACCAGAATTTCCATAGTGTTCTGAAAACGAAACTGTGACTTCACATTAGTCTCACCCAGTCAGTTCCTCAGTGCGGCCCAGGATCTTGAGGAGTTTGGGCATGAAAGTCGGCAGGTGAGGGATGACATGGACCTTGAGGTCAGCCGAGATCTCCCCAACACATAGCAGGGCACATGCCAACACATTAGGGCTGTCCTTCCTCTTGGTGAGTACCTTGCAGGTGAGCTGCAGTACCTGAAATGTGGAACATGTCACAGTACTGTATGTGTCATATCAACATAGACCTATCTGGAGTGTGGAATTTAAGCTCTTTGTGGAATATTTCAGCAAATGTTTTAGTAGGTCTGATGCCGAACAACCAATCATGGGAGCGAGAACATTTTCAGGCCCTGCTGTATTCTGCAGCCCTTCTATCTACCCCATTTAACTTCTGGTGGAATATTGTGCACATTTGAAACCAATTTATTATTCTGCATAAATATCTGCAAACTTTAAGGTTAGTGTTTTTATTTTGCACTTGTTTGCAGAAAAATGCCTGCCACAAGTCAGTGTACTGAATATTGTGGAAGAGAAAACGCAAATTATGACCAAAAGTATATTTCACTGCTGAATCACTGAATACAGCAAAAAGTGAATGTATTTTAATGCTTTATCATGGCTGCCTGCGGTTGATAGCAAAATCAAGTGCACCTGTTTGCAGAAAAAAAAAGCGTGTCGCAAGCATAGGCGGATCCAGGAATTTTCAAGGTTGGGGGGTGGGGGGGACCCTCTGCCGAACCCCCCTCTTGGTCCGTAATGCAAAATATTCACTACAAAGTGGTGTTTAGTCATTTTCAAAAGGTGATCTTGATGAATTCTGTAGCAGAGAAATGCACAATTCTGACCAAAAGTATACTTCTGCTGAATCACTGAATACAGCAAGAACTGTATGTTGTTTTAAGCTAGAATCTGTTTGCTATGCTGCCTTTATCATGGTTGCCTTTGATCAATAGAGTCTGTAATTGAGAGCTAGCAAATCCAGTGGTTGATAACATGAGCACTGTCTTTAAATACAGGTGATGGGTCACACTTCTCAGTCTGTTATGTTCAGTTCATTTGACTTCCAACACAACTTACCTTGATAAACCTATCGGGGTGTTTATGGCCCAGCAGACGACACAACACCTTCAGGCTGTAGAGAGCCGTCTGGCCATTGACCCCTGTCTCCTCAAGGTCATCCGAGTCGAGAGTTGTTTGTTTCACTATGGCTGACAGTTCATCAACCAGCACCAGCAGAATGTTCTCCTGAAGAAAACATCCTCATCATATAATTTATCTGTACACAAGAACATACTACACTGGATGTGATCCAGAATGTGATCCTGAGTGTGATCCTGAATGGCAAAGCAGACAGTATTCAATGTTTCCCCAATTACAGCATCCAGAGTATAAGGTTCACCACTATAACAATTTCTTTGAGTGGCATTTTAGAAGTTGGGAAGTACAATATAGAATATTTTTTATGGATAACAACTTCTTTTTATTCGTGAGTCTTGACGTTTCGATACAGATGCTTGGTACAAGAATCTGTATCAAACGCCGCGACTCACTAATAAAAAAGAAGTTGTTATCCATAAAGCTTTTTCTATATTGCACTATAACAATGTCCACCATTAATAATGTCCAGAGTCTAAGGTTCTCAACTAACTGTATCAAGATTACAAGCGCTCCCCACTAACAGTGTAAACCACTTACAGATTACCAAGTCCACAAGCTGTAGATATGTAAAAGCTTAGCATATCTGAAACCACGAGAAGTACTGGAGACGGCATCATCAGGGAGCACACACACACACTCTAACAGTACACTAACCTGGTCCTTGTCTACTCACGTCCTTGACCTGCTGGAGGCGGCATCATCAGGAGCACACACACAGACACACTCTAACAGTACACTGACCTGTTCCTTGTCCACTACGCCCTTGACCTGCTGGAGGCGGCATCATCAGGAGCACACACACACACACTCTAACAGTACACTAACCTGGTCCTTGTCTACTACTCGTCCTTGACCTGCTGGAGACGGCATCATCAGGGAGCACACACACACACACACTCTAACAGTACACTAACCTGGTCCTTGTCTACTACGTCCTTGACCTGCTGGAGACGGCATCATCAGGGAGCACACACACACACTCTAACAGTACACTAACCTGGTCCTTGTCTACTACGTCCTTGACCTGCTGGAGACGCATCATCAGGGAGCACACACACACACTCTAACAGTACACTGACCTGTTCCTTGTCTACTACGTCCTTGACCTGCTGGAGACGGCATCATCAGGGAGCACACACACACACACACACTCTAACAGTACACTAACCTGGTCCTTGTCTACTCAGGGGAGCACACACACACGTCCCTCTGACCTGCTGAGACCTACTGGCATCATTAGGAGCACACACACACACTCTAACAGTACACTGACCTGTTCCTTGTCCACTACGTCCTTGACCTGCTGGAGACGGCATCATCAGGAGCACACACACACACACTCTAACAGTACACTAACCTGGTCCTTGTCTACTACGTCCTTGACCTGCTGGAGACGGCATCATCAGGGAGCACACACACACACACTCTAACAGTACACTGACCTGTTCCTTGTCTACTACGTCCTTGACCTGCTGGAGACGGCATCATCAAGGAGCACACACACACACTCTAACAGTACACTCACCTGTTCCTTGTCCACTACGTCCTTGACCTGCTGGAGACGGGAGTTGAGGAGCTCCATGGCCTTCCGCTGGACAGTGGGCAGGCTGTGTTTCAGCAGCCCCGATGTCACCTCCACGAACATGTGGTCCGGCAGCAGGCATGTGATCTAGAGACACAACAACTTGACAAATGTGTCCTTGAAATATACAGGTGTGATGAGGAGACGAAGTTGGAGAATAAGATACCACTTTACATGTTCTGACATCAAACTGCAATTTGCTTCTAAACTTTGATCCTATGGCTCTTCCTACCCCGGAGCACCTCTGGCCCTGGTTATAGTGTTAACTGTCAGGAAATACTGAACTTGTTCGGTGTCACACTCAGGAATCGACCACCATTATTCTAGAAAGTGGTATGGCAATAATCAAGGGAAGACCACACCGTTGTACACAATCAACTAAACATTTGGACCAATCATCAGTAAACTCTTAAAACAAGCGTGGTTTGAAGGTGATTTTTCTGAGCCACATTCTGACATCATGTACGTACAGGCCAGTCAGCTTGTATGGACAGATGATGACTGATCATCAAAATAGCTACATTCCTCACTGAGACCACGATGTCGCCGTAATTACTTCTGACAGTGCCATTGTCAGCACTGATGCCATATATATATATAGCCCGGGTAGATGCGTTTCTGTACGCGAAAAATGTACCCTTAAAATACAGAAGTGTAGCCAGTACCTAAACAGCGGATGAGTCCATATTCCTCAGCATAAAACCGTAACTGTATGTGAGTGAGTTTAGTTTTACGCGACACTCAGCAATATTCCAGCTATATGGCGGCAGTCTGTAAATAATCGAAGTCTGGGCCAGACAATCCAGTGATCAAGAGCATGAGCATCGATTCGCGCTAATTGGGGAACCTATGACATGTGTCAACCAAGCCAGCGAGCCTGGACCAGCCGATCCGTTAGTTGCCTCTTCACGACAAGCATGGGTTACTGAAGGTTCATTCTTACCCCCGGACCTTCACAGGTCGTAAAACTGTATGTAACTGTTCCTGTTTGCCTGATTGAAACTGATACTGTGCATTGAAAAATATTCATCACTGAGTATGCTTGGGTCTTATATAACACAGTCAAATGTGTCCCAGTCCACCCAGCTGTGAATGGGTACCTCGTAAGGATGGGAAAGCCGCAATAACTTAGTGCCCCAGAGTTGTATGATCCGCAGGGAGTAGAGATTGATAATACAATGTGCTGTTGAGACTGATATCCAATGATCGAGAGAAAAAATACCAGCGCCTTGAGCATGTACTAGTTGCATGGATATGTGGGTTATATAAATATGCTATAATGATAACAATAATAATCTAAAAAGAAACAGCATCAGTCTGACAGTTCCGATCAAGAAAACGTAAAGCGTGGAATGGACATGTTTTGTATTCTGATTTTTTGGCTAGGGTACATTTCTGTATATGAAAATGGATGAAACAAATTGGGCAAATGTTATCAAACACAATCCTCTCCTAATTCTCCTTGAGAAGTACATGTATAAGGCACAAGACCTCTCAGCGTGGTGACAATATCTCATTGTTGCAAGGGAAGTCTCACCTTATCGATCATGTCATAAGCCTTGTGCAAGTAGGCCTTCCAGAAACGAGATGTGGGTTTGTTCTGGTGCCTGTCCACAACAATGGAGATTTGGCTGATGTACTGAAGAAGGGTTTCGAGAAGAGACTCAAAATTCTTCTGCAGGGATTTCTTCCCCTCCTTGGCTGCAACCTTCAAATACAAAGACACCTCTAACTCAGCTACAACAACTAGGGCTGTGCAATATTACCGGTAAACCAGTAGATACCAGTACAATATCTTGTGATACGTATATAGCGATATGGTTGAGATTCTGAAATATATTGAGAGTTAGGCCAGACCAATTATATTTCTTGTTTTACAGATCCGCCTGTCGTATTTTTTCAAGAATAAGAAAAAAAAATTAATTAATTTTCCTCGCTCAAAAAATAAAATCCTAATGTTTTCATTGGCCAAAATGTAAACATACAAGAAATTTTGTTTTTAGATTGTGTTTTTGCCCTCTACATATACACTTCATAAATTGCCAAAAGTAACATGCTTTGAGTACTTAGAATTTTACTTTGACCAGTGATTTTACTTTTATTTTTCCCTCCTGCCTTTAGATGTTCTGATGACAAAATCCAAGTAAAACAAGAAATAAAATTGGTCTGTCCTTAGCTCCCTTTACCAAATGCTTTATGTTTTGTGTTTCATATGTGACATTTTAGAGGAATTAAGTGGCCTCTAATGGACCAATTTATTATTTGGACTTATTAGTAGAGCCTCTGGTTTTGAGTGACATTTCACTATTTACAATATTTTGTTGTTGTTGTTTGTTTCATAATGGGACATATGTTTTCAATTTATCAAAAGGTCTAAGTCTTTTATATTTTGTAGGACTGTATACTGACATTCTAGTCAAGGATCTTAGATATTGGAGGTCACATGAGGATTGTAAGCTCGAGTAGTTCACCTAAATTATGTTTTGGTTTCATGTTAACACATGTTTATATTGGAGTTGAATCTGAATGAATCACTGACATACAGTAACAATAATCACATGCTGCATTGAAGTGCATTCTGTTGAGGAGGCAAACAGTGACCATGAAAATCATGTTATAGTATTACTTTTATCATTATGTTAGCAAAACTTTGTTGCAGTACTTCAAGTAAACATACTACATTAAGGCTCTTTATCATTTTATTTATCTGTAAACCATTGGCATACAGCCAGCCATACACAATGGGGCCAGGGGAGCCTGAAGTATGGTGTAACAGCAACTGAGAAGATGATGTCCCACACAGAGAGCTATTATGAATTTATGATGCACGCACTTGGGCAGACACCTTCCAGTCAATATATCACAATATGTATTACAATATCTCTTATATTATTGCAATATATCGCAATATGAGAATCAGGGTAATATCCAGCCCTAACAACAACTAAATAATACCAATGTCATACACATCTTACTTATCGATTAATGTGAAGCCATAGAAATTTGCAATGGCAGAAACCAAATCATCCATTGATAAAGCAAACACAGGATCATGCTATTATTCTTTAACAAAGTGGACACCTCTGGCATCCTCCTACCTGTGACACATTTAACTGCTGATGAGAGAGAAGGGAGACAAACAGATGGACTAAAAATGTAGCATACTTGAAGTGCTTGCAGCTGTTTGGCAGTGTGGAACTGTACACTGAAGATCTCACTGTCCTCCTTCTTCAAGGCCCCTAGAGACTGAGGGACACTCTTGGCTTTGATTACTGTGTCTGAACATAAACATGAGTGAGTGAGTGAGTGAGTGAGTGAGTGAGTGAGTGAGTGAGTGAGTGAGTGAGTGAGTGAGTGAGTGAGTGAGTGAGTGAGTGAGTGAGTGAGTGAGTGAGTGAGTGAGTGAGTGAGTGGTGAGTGAGTGAGTGAGTGAGTGAGTGGAGGAGTGAGTGAGTGAGTGAGTGAGTGAGTGAGGTGAGTGAGTGAGTGAGAGTGAGTGAGTGAGTGAGTGAGTGAGTGAGTGAGTGAGTGAGTGAGGTGAGTGAGTGAGTGAGTGAGTGAGTGAGTGAGGAGTGAGTGAGTGAGTGAGTGAGTGAGTGAGTGAGTGAGAGTGAGTGAGTGAGTGAGTGAGTGGAAGCTTGAGGGAGGAAGCAAGTGCTGCTTTGAATTATACCCCATGTCAGTTTGATGTGAAGATAGATTACAGGTCCTAGGTATTTACCATCATAACTATGTTGCTGTCAAATCTAGAAACATTATAAGAACAACCTGTGGGATTTCAATCCATGATCATTGGTTCCTGGCATGCCTAAGCAGGGATGTAACTCTGTTTAGCGAGTTACTCTCCTCAGACAACTGGGACACCTTGAGACCATAACAGTAACAAAGATGTTTCCTTTATTATTGTCAGATAACCAGGTAACATACCATCTTTGTCATCTGGAAGCTGGGAGATATACACAATAGCATCCCGGGCTGCCATGAGCTGGGTTGCAGGGGAGAAGGATGTCGACAAAATCTGGATAAATTCCAGTTCCGCGGGTCCTATGGGTCCAGACATCTGGTAAGACAAGAAATATGATAAGATGATGTATCATCTAAAAACCCCAGGCATGTTTGGGATATGCCCCAGGATATACGTCCTTGGATACGCCCTGGGATATGTCCTGGGATATGCCCCAGAATACATCCACGGATACATCCACGGATACACCCTGGGATACGCCCCAGGGTACACCCAGTTCTACAAAATGATCTTACAGCTATGATGGCCGTAAGCCTCTGTTAATGTATAGAAGTTACTATCACCTTAGCGCTAAGATCCCTTTATAGAAAAGGTCTCAGATATAGTCTAGGGATACTTCCAGAGATACCCAGGATTCAACACTAAGTGCAGTCGCAGGCAAATTAGGATTTAACTCATTACAATCATTAAAATCAAATGATTTGGGAATCTTAATGGACCAATGGCTGATTATAGCTGATAGCAGGTCCAGATAAAGCCCTCTCTGTATAATGGCATAGTGCCTCAACACTCAGCTCTCTTACTGCAGTTATCAAAAGCATCACACAAACCTTCTCCTCCAGAACAAGATGGGAGTCGCCTGGTCTAACAATACGTTCCTCGCCACCACCACCTGCTCAATGAACAGCAGCAGACACGCCATACAGGTACTGCTTCTGTCCCACAATCCTCACCAGCTTTGTGTACAGCATCAACTTCCTGTGTTGTGGGATGTAAGGGTAGGCATCGACGAAGACTCGTCGCATCACCATGGTGATGACCTCCTCTCGGTTTGCTAGGTCAGACTAGTTTTCTTTGGTGAGGATTTCTCTTCACATGTCTGTATGAAAATAGTTTAACCTACCGCGTTAGTCAGCTTAAAAAGCAAGAGCATTGATTTAGTGGAGTGGGTATGGTTTCCCACACACCACTTTAAAACAGGAAACAGGCTTCACACATTGTACCCATGGGGGAATCAAACCCAGGTCTCTGGCATTAAGAGCAAACACTTTAACCATTCTGCGTTTTCACTTCGAGAATGATTATAGCAAAACAGAAATCGTGGAGTTAGCTATAATGCTATAGGAATGTGGCTTGTAAATAATTGAGCTGAGTGAGTTTAGTTTTACGCCCGCTCTCCAGCAATATTCCAGCCTATATGGCGGTCTGTAAATAATCGAGTCTGGACCAAACAATCCAGTGATCAACAACACCACGAGCATCGATCTGCGCAATTGGGATGCGATGACATGTGTCCAACCAAGTCAGCGAGCCTGAACACCCGATCGTTAGTAAGCCTCTACGACAAGCATGAGTTACTGAAGATCAATATTGTAACCCGGACCTTCAAAGGGTATTGTAAATAATTGAGTCTGGTTCAGACAATCAAGTGATTGATATTGACAGGTATAAAAACCAGCATGAAAGCAGTGACTCACACTGATAAGTGCAGGGATGACATTCTCCAGGATCTTGCTGATGACATTAGGAAGCTGTAGCTACCGTCGATCTTGGCGCAGGATGTTGGCCCATGAAAGGTGAACACTGTCATGATATGTTGTGCAGTAGATGCTCCTACAGACAGACAGACAGATTGATGGAAAATACCATCGTGTGATTGCAAAAGGTGCCCCAACAAACAAACATGGAATTTATATGCTTCTACAACATACTTGTAGCCACTGATTATCTCAAGATTTTCATGATATCTTCTATCATCTAATACATGTAAATAAATGCAAGAACATCCTCAGCTGCCTCCTCATCATGTAACAAATAAACAAATCAAATGCTTCTCATTTCACTTATTGCTGCCGTCCTAATCAGTTCAGTATCTGAATGTGAACTCCACTAAAATTGTACCACCTAAATACACAGTAATTTCTCACTGAAGAAAACCTGGACATTCAGTTCACCAAATGGTGACACGACAGGTCGTTGGACCCTACAACACTCAAGAGAGAAATCTGATCCACACCTTTGAAAGATATTGTTCTGACCATAATACAAAGCGTGTTACATTAAAGAGGTTTAATGTAGAGAGCGCACGACATACTAAGGCAAATCTTGGCCGACACAGTCAGCACTAGCAGGGCTTGGTGGTGAGTCTGTGGGTTGTCCGATGTCCGGATACACTGGACGATCAGCTCCATACTGAAGTGTTCCTCGGGATGGATCCTGCATCAGAACAATGGTCAATACAGCAGGTGCATCGTCATCAACAGCACTTTCTCCACTCTTATACAGATCATACAACTGTGCTTGCAAAACAAATTTATCTTTCCAGTGTGAGATGTATTACTAATGAACATTTATATTTTGAAAATACTAAGAATTCGGTAGTATTTCAAAATAGATTTGAGTATGGTCAATAATCTTTGAAGCTGTTATTCAAAGAGTCATAAGGTTCTTTAATATATGAATGTTTAGACTGCAGGTTTGTGGGAGAATAAACTGTTGGTTTGTGAGGGTATAGACAGTAATATGTGTAAGCAGGAGTGAATGTATAGACTTCAGGTGTGTGAGAGTGTAGACTGCAGGTGTGTGAGAGTGTAGACAGGTGTGTCCGAGTGTAGACTGCAGGTGTGTGAGAGTATAGACTACAGGTGTGTGAGAGTAGACTGTAGGTGTGTGTGAGTAGACAGCAGGTGTGTGAGAGTGTAGACTGCAGGTGTGTGAGAGAGTAGACTGCAGGTGTGTGAGAGCGTAGACAGCAGGTGTGTCAGAGTGTAGTCTGCAGGTGTGTGAGAATGTAGGCTGCAGGTGTGTGAAAGTGTAGACTGCAGGTGTGTCCAGAGTGTAGACAGCAGGTGTGTTGTTAGTTTGGACTACAGGTGAGGTGTGAGATTGCAGCAGGTGTGTTAGTATAAGACTACAGGTGTGTGAGAGTGCAGGTGACTACAAGTGTGTGTGTAGTGTAGGCTGCAGGTGTGAGTACAGGTGGAGACTGCAGGTGTGTGAGAGTGGCAGACCAACAGGTGTGTTAAGTATAGACTACAGGTGTGTGAGGAGTGTAGATTGCAGGTGTGTGATAGTGTAGACAGCAGGTGTGAGAGTATAGACTACAGGCGTGAGAGTTTGTGGACTGCAGGTGTATTAGTATAGACTACAGGTGTGTGTGTGAGAGTGTAGGCTGCAGGTGTTTCGGGTTACCTCCATCTTGGTCAGTGTTAAATCTGTTACAGAGGTTGTAGATGGTGGTCAAAGCAGTAACTGGCATGATGTACTCCTTACTGTTGTAGTCCTCCAAGGGTCAAGTGCTCCTGGCAAGGAAGGAAGAGCTATTTCATCTACATATACTGTAAAGAAAAAAGCATTTGTACTGGGGCATTATTCTGTTCTGTAACCATAACCGATCCCCCATACCAGCAGCCTTGTTGTCCCTATTTAAAGGTTCAGGGGACCAAGATCTGCTCTGGGCCGCCCCTTGATTTTATCCCTATTTAAGGGACTATGAACCAGTGGTGTTTTTTGAAACCCTATTGTGACCTACTTAAGAGCCAGGGGTGAAATTCTGATGTAAAGAGAAATACCTGTAATGTGCAGTAGGTACCAAGACCTTCACATAATACTGAAACTCATTTGGGACATACATGCAGATCCCAGATTTTTGAAGTCCGAAACTAATGGCGTCTACCCCTTGTCCTGCCATGTCTCATTTATAATTACTGACTGGTCCCTTACTTGCTTGGCCGGGACTTGGAAGCGGAGCCGGGGGATGAGTTGGAGCTCTGTTGTCCAACTTCTTTCTTGTCCTGCACAGCCTCCAGGATGATGACAACCAGCGCTGCCACTCAGGACAGTCAAACACGGCACTTCCGTGCCTGCTCTCCCTCCTCTGGAAGCCTAAAGTCCTGATCTAGCATGTAAATGGCAGAATGAGTGGGTCAGAGTTCAAAGGAGAGTGTGAGTGCATAAAGAAGGGTGGTGAGCAAGGGAGGGACTGGGTGAGGTGAGGTGTGAAATGGGGTTTAATGTAGGTACTTAATAATATTTTGGTCATATAATGGCGTGTGTGTGCTTGTATGTGTGGCTGCTTGTACTAGCCCAGACTTAAGCTGGTTTTATAGTGCTAGCCCACTGAGATGTACCATGCATGATTAAGCACTCAGACACATTATACTGACTCCGTGCCGACCAGTCCTTACGTTGTACCCACATTAATGCTGAGTGTCAGGCAGGGACCAACAAGTGCACCATATTTTAGCGTCTTTTGGTATGATGCAGCGAGGGGATCGAACCTGCAACCTTCCTGAGTCTCCGGGAGGGACTGGGAAAGGAAGGACAGATGTATGTGTGAAGAGAAACTAAGTAAGGAGAAAGAAAGGAAGAAGACAAGTGTTTGCCACTGATATGGCAATATTGCACGCTTCGCTTCAAGAATGGAATATCTATATTTACTACTTTTATTTTTGGGTCACATGCAAGATGCCACCGAAATGACTGAATTGTCTGCATAATCACCCAATGTAGGCTGTCAACATACTTGAAAACATTGGGTGCAATGTTTTTATGGGATATCCGTTAACAAGAGTTAAAAAAAGCGTGCAAAGTGTCATGGTGACGGCGAGGAACCAAGGTCAAGGTCATCAAAATAAACTGAATTGTTGCAGCGTGATCCCCAATGTGGAGGCATGTCACCAAATTTAAAGACATTGGGTACAACAGTGCATGAGATATCGTTAAGATGAGCAAGGTGGCGTGCAAAGTGTCGCGGTGACCTTGAAGACGCTTAGTCCAGGATGCTTGAAAATAAACTGGTAAATTGTACACCGTCCCCAATGTATGCTGTCACTTAAATTCCAAGACCCGGTAAGACAAACAGTCCATAGGATGCTTTCAACGGATTTTGAAAAGTGTTCAAAGTGTCATGGTGAAAGTGAGAAATGGGTCAAGGGTCACTGAAGAATAAAACTGATGTCTACACTAATCCCATAAGTGAAGCAATCACCAGGTTTGAAGATGTGGATACTCACAGTTGCATGAGATATCCACGTTGGCAACAGTTTGAAAGTGTTCAGAAGTGTCATGGTGACCTTGAAGAAGCCAAGGTCAAGGTCACCCCAATAAACTGGTGTCACTGCATAATCCCTTAATATGGAGGCTGTCACAGAAATTTTAAGACATTGGGTACAACAGTTCATGAGACATTACCTTTTCTATCAGTTGAAAGCTTCGGACTTTTCGGGAACAGTTGAAATCTGAAGAACTGGTCTCAGTTCAGATATGATGTGTTCTGCTTGAAGATGCAGCTGTAGAACAGGAAAAGATCTAGGCAACTTTGACAACACTAAATGAGCAGGAAGCATGATGATGATGATGATGATTTTAAAGGAGTCCACCCACATTTTAATTTCTAGGGGCTGGGGGTCAACGAATTATGCTTCGGAATATAGGAAGGGTAGGATTCATTTGATTTTGTACATAAATAAAAAGGCTTTAATTTTGGGGGAGTCCATTCACATTGTACATGCTTCTCCATAAGGAGATCCCGTATCATGCCCTAGCCATAACGTATGAACAGTCCCTTAGTTCAACAATAGTTTAAACTACTACTTTGTGTAAGGCGGTTTTACAATGCTTATTACACTTCCATGCAGAGCCAAGGGCATAGAGGTAGC